GAACCGGGATCGTCGGAATCCACTTTCTGGCTACGCCACTTGGGCCCTTTACTCAGGCTTAAGTCTTGCTCTACAGCCGGCACTTGCCACGCTCCTTCCTGACAGGTAGTAGTGCCGATGGGCCTAACAACACTGCTCTTGAGGGACACCGTTGTCATTGCACACACAAGGTCCCCAGGGAGCTAAATCCTGGCCCAGGGACACTATTCTGGGTTGAAACCCCACTCAAACATGGGGTTTTCTCTAAGCCTGAGGTCTGCCGGCCCCTGGCCTTTTGACACCTTAATCTTGGACTATAAGATAGATACTTGCAAGTGTTTGTGAGCCACAGCTCCTGTCTCTAGAACTTTGCTACAGCAGTCCCCCCCCAGCCCCCCCAAAAAATACACACCCAAGTTTTCACCTGCATCTTAAAAGTCATAGTGAGACAACAAATGGAAATTAGCTCTCTCTGGGCACTGGCACTGGGCAGGTGCTAGGCACTGTTAAAAATCTTTTAAAATCATAATTAATGTTAAGTTATTCGAGTTTTTATTGTAAGAGTCCTGGCATTCATTTTCCTATAAATGAAAAGGTAAGGGCAGCAGGGGATGGGCAAACTGACTAATTGGCAGCTGCTGGACTCTTTCTTGTTGCCTTGAGCAAAAGGACATTCAGACAGCTGGGGGATTACCCTTGTGCTAACACCAGCTGTTTGGAAGGCTCCACAGATGCCTTGAAAGAAAACTACACAAGGATCACAGGTGTGGCTCTGGTCCTGAAGGGACAGCCTTCTTAGTGCTGTTTCCCAGCGGCCTCACTAAGGGGTTGCTTGTGACTGGTGTAAAGGGGACAATACACATCAGTACAAGCTCACACTTTCATTCATATGCAAAGTGTGCCTGTGACTGGCCAAACACAAATCTTAATTTACATGTGAGGTGTCTCCTGATTGGTCTAAAATGCCCCTTCTTGCCTATATAAACAGGTTGGGAAGGCTCACTTAGGGAGTGGGCTGGGAGAGCGTGGGCTGCCGGCCCTTGGTGTTGCAGCACTAGCCTGGTCAACGGTTTCTCTTAAGGGACAGCAAGAAACAGCAGCAAGCTGCCAGAGCCACAGAGGAGCAGGCAGCAGACCAAGCTGCAAAAGTAACCAGGGCAGGAACAGGGAGATGGCAGTCAGTGCCTCAGAGGATGGAAGGCTCCGAGCAGAGGAGGACAGGTTATAAAGGGCCTGAGTAGAGAAACTGAAGTCTCTGGAAGAGTTCCAGAGCTGCTAAGCCTCTAAGGCCAAGGGTCTCAGACACTCAAGGCCTGGGAGCCATAACACAGGCTGCTCTGTCAAGGGCTGAAGAATCATGATGCTTAGGCCTGCCCACAAGCTTCCATGTCAGCTGCTGCGAAGGGCTAAGAAGGAATCTGGATGACTTCCTGCAGGCCTATGCGTTTTAAGACTTGTAGACAGACGGAAGGGTCCTGATGCCAAAGGCCAGGTTGACAGACAGCAGGAACACCAGAGGGCGCCACCTGCCGCTGCTCCCACTTTCCTGCTACCATCACTCGAGGCTGTCCCAACACAGGATACAAAGCCTCCAATGACTGGCACATGAAGAGCTTCTTCTCCTTGCCTGCCCACAACTTCTGTCTGGGTAGAGCAGAAGGATGCTTCCAGCTGCTTGGTAGCATCCCATTTTGCAGCATATTCTAAGTGCTGATGGGAAAAAGAAAACAGCTAGAACCTTCATTACCAGTGTCCAGTGGATGCTTATGACCTCCTGAGCATGCTCTCCCTGAGCAGGTGGCCCTCCAGTCGCACTCCCACCCTCTGTCCCCCAGACTCTCACCCTGTCATAGCACACTCTGGGCTCCGAGTCCTCCACTGGTCACCCTCTTACTATTGGGCAGCTAACCAGTTTCTTAGATTTCTCACTGCGTCAGTTGTGGTGCCAAACTGGCCAAACAGTATAAACAGTACAGTGTAAACAAAACATTTTGGTAAATCATCACTTAACATAAAATGTAAAGATGTGTTGGGAAGACATTTTATAACAAGACAATAAATATTGACTGGTGGAAGGACAGTAGACTGCACCATTTCCAGTTAGGATTTTCTTTTTTAAAGGTTTATTTTATTTGTGTGTGTGTGTGTGTGTGTGTGTGTGTGTGTGTGTGTGTGTGTGTGTGTCCAAAGACCAGAGGTGTCAGATCCCCTAGAATCAGAATTTCAGGCAGTTGTGAGCCATAAATGTGGGTGCTGGGAACTGAACCTGGGTCCTCTGGAAGAGCAGTACACACGCTTAACCACTGAGCCATCTCCCCAGTCCCTCTGTTTTCCATTTCTGTAGATGTAAACACGATACAAAACTGTCCATGTGGATGAATAGCTGGGAATAGAAAGCTTAATTATAGAAATGTCACTCAATTCTTCAAGATGCTGAGTTGGTACTAGAGAAGAATTTTAAGTAATTTATCAGCAAAATTACTATTTAATGCTGACAGATTATATCCAATTAAGTTCTTCAGTTAGGAGAAAAGCAAACACCTGGGCAGTCCCTGACTTACAAATAAATGGTACTGAGCCATTGACATGGATGACTTCAATAATACTGACAGCAATGTTTTGAAGTATGCCTTTGTGTGGCACCCTGGAGTTCATCACCTCCAGAGCAGAACACCATGGTAATATTCCAGTGAGAGAAAATGACTATTAAAATGAAGGACGAACTGTGGGTCAGACACAGGGGCATATTCCTGAACAGATCAGCTAGCTACTAGGAAGAGCTGAGATCTGGGAGTGGTCTTTGGAGAAACCCACGTATCTGTGTACCTCTGTGGTCACAGAGGAGCATGGACCTGTGGAACCCATGATGGGCCATGGCCTTTCCTGGGCTTGCTCAAAAGAGCAAGCCTGACTAGCCATATTGGCCTGACTTCATCCTACCATTCTTGATCAACAGTCCTTATTTGTGCTCCATGTGCTGTAGATTTTAAGAAAAGGTCCAGAATCGAGCCCAGCAGTAAACTGGCGGAGGTCACTGGCTCCTGCCCACCTGTCGGTGTGGTCTGGGCTTGCAAGACCAACAGAGGCGCACATTGTGGGTCAAAGCAAGGCTCATACCTTAACTATAGAACCTGGGTTTTGCTTGTGAGAAGACCAATTTTCTGATACCAAAGAAGCAAAGAGGTTCAGCATCTAGGTTCAGCAAGGTCTCAGAAGTGGCCAATGGAGGCTGAATTCAGGGTCTGAAACCAGTGGGGATCTGATAGCAAGGTTAAAGACCAAGCCTAGATGGGGCTCTGGAGTCTATGCTCCCCCTGAGGCTTGCTGGGGCCTCAGACAAGGTGCTAAGCATCTCTGGGACACACCAGGGATTGAGGAGTGTCCCAATCTCTCCCCGCTACGAGGCTCAGATCTAGATGCTGTGTGCCTCTATGGGGTGGTCTCCAGTCCCTCTTCCCTTCCGTTTGCATAGCACAGAAGCAGTACACTCAGGACTGCCCTGTGGCCGGGTTCTCAGGGAGAGTACATGTGCACCGTGCTATCTAATACCACAGAGAAACCCACAATCATCCTTGGCTAGCATATTTACACCAAAGAAATCGGCAGACACTATAGATCAGAGTCCCTACTCCCAGAGCTGGATGCCAAGCATTTGCCAACACACTGGTGGGTATGAGTATTAAAATAAATTATTCAGAGACTGACAATGGCCAGTCCATTTTGAGACTAGCTACATGGAGTGTCCTGAATCTCAAAAGTGTAGTGACTCAGACATCCTCTCCAGAGTAATCTCCTTCTGAAGTGACCTCTGTGAGCCTGTATTGTGGCCATTCAAGGAAACAGCCACGGAAGCCACCAGCCTCGCCCGTGGTCTTCTCAGAGCCCCTTTCACACTCGAGCTGTGGCAGAAAAAGAGTCAAGGGACAGCAGAGCTTCTTAGGATGCAGTGTGTTGGGGGGGGGGACACAGGTTCCCTCCCTTCAGTCTCAGGATGGCCACTGTCCCCATATCACATCCTATCACATGACCAGCCTCCTTAGACTTTGAGGAGCACCCACAGATTCAAGGCTATCATGTTTACGCCCTCTTAAAGAACTCTTAAAAACTGTATGGGGGCTGGCGAGTGGGCTCAGTGGGTAAAGGCACTTACCGCCAAGCCTGGTGACCTGAGTTCAATTCCCAGGATTCACATGCTAGAAGGAGAGCACCAATCCCTCCCTGCAAGTTGATTCTGATTGCCACACTTATGTCATGGCATGTATGTGTGTGTGTACGTGTGTACACACTGATTTAAAAAAAACAAAACAAAACAAAAACCATCAATTATGTGGGAGGACTGGCAAGATGGTTCATTCAGTAAAAGTACTTGCCTCCATGCCTGATGACCTGACCTGGTTTGATTTTTGTAGCTGTATTAAATACCATGTCCGAAATCAACCTGGAGACGCATTTATTACACTTTGCACACTTTACAGGCCATCACTGAGGGGAGCCGAGGCAGGAACCTGGAGGCAGGAGCTGATGCAGAGGCCATGGAGGAGGGCTGCACACCGGCTGGCTTCCCCTGGCTTGTTCAGCTCCTCTGCCCAAGGACCTGCCCGAAGACAGCAGTGCCCACAGTGGGCTCGGCCCTCTTACATCAGTCAGCAATCAAGAAAATGCCCTATGGACATTCCCACAGGCCGATCTGATGGAGACAGTTCCTGAACTGAGATTCCCTCTTCCCAGATATATCCAGGTTCTGTCAAGTTGACCAAAACTAACCAGCACATGACCTTAGTTCAGGTTCCTGCACAGTAGAAGGAGAGAACCAACTCCTGCACGTTGTCGTTTGACCTGAACACAAATGCCATGCATGTGCATGTGCGTGCGCGCATGCACATGCGCACGCGCGTGCACACGCACACACACACTAAATAAACAAATATGTAAATAAGTACATATAATGAAAAAAAAAGTATTAGCTATGTGAGAGAGAGAGGAGGCAGGTTCTCTGTTTTTACAGACGAACAAGCAGTCCTGGAGAAAGTAACTAAGAACAGAAGGTCAGTCAGTTATGAAGATGGAGCAGGAATCCAGGAGAATCTAGTGGAGACTTTCCAGGGCTATTGTGTGCCAGTTCACAGGCTGTGCACTGCAGAGCTCCAGGAGACATAATCCATTGCAGGCTGGGGTTTGAATCGTCCCTTGCAGCTAGGAAACAGGGAGGTCTTGAGAGTTCAGGTCAAGGGAGAACCTCTGGGACCATGGGGGTGGATTCTTTTCTAATGTTGTATATAAGCCAGCCAGCTCACAGCTAATCATGGGGGCTCCTACCCCTTCCTGCCAGCGGGAGCTAGAGATGGGCTTTTATGCAACCTCATGTTTCTCCATTTCTAATACAATGCCTGTTCTTCTTTTAAAGGGCTGAACTTTAACTCTGTCTGAATTGAAAGCCCAAGAGGAAACCATCAGAAGCCACACCCCACAGGGCATCATCCTCCAACGCCCCAAACACCCAAGGATGAGAAGCACAGAGGAAAACAACCCAGGTCGGAGAGACACAGGGTAAGTAAAGTTGTGTTCATGCCAGTGCTTTCTGAACATACCAAAGAGGGGTGGTTGGAAAGGCTTGGTTTTAATTCCAATCCTCCCATCTTTCAGATACACCAACACACTTTCCAGAATGTGCTGACAGGAGGCCACACAATCCCAACATACTCAAAGTCACACTTCCTCTCCAGGTCCAGACAGACTAGAAGTCAGCTCTGTAGGGGACTCTTGAAGGTAGTTTTGGGATCTGAGAGGACATCAGAAACCATGCTGGAGGCTTCATTATACCCAAGCCTCCTGCTGATCAGGCACCCTGCTTGGCTGGCTGTACTGGCTTAGCCCAACAGGAGGCTGTATCCACTCACTCCTTAGAGGGGTAGCGGGTGGGGTGGGGTGGGGGTACTAGCCGAGGAAAGAGGATGGACAGACATGGCCAGCTTGGGGGCAGGGCGCTCAGCCACTCCACTCTCTGCAGTGGACCCCACAGATACCCAGGCTCACTCAGACAAGGATTCTGTATGGGTTGTTCACCATCCTGCTCAGAACCAATGCCCAGTATCTGACCTCAGCTCACAGCTCAGGAAAATCCCTGTCCTATGAGAAAGTGAAGGCATCATGTGCCACTTCCTGTTGTTGGACACCAGCCCCAACAGCAGGATACAGGAGGTCGATTGTGATGTCACGGGGCACGTGTGTAAAATCGAGGTCCCACCTGAGAATAACTCAAACTGGTGTCAATTACCACGCTTCCCTGAGTCCAAGTGTATCATTCATTTTTGTTTTAAAAAAAAAAAAAAACTGCCAACTACACCTTTAAGATCGGACTGTGAACCCAGCCAAGTGCCAGGGTGTCACACACCAGAGGAAGGGGACTTCAGGGGAGAGCCAGAGGCCAGCTTCCAGGCCTTCCCCGCTGTATATGAACGGGATGACAGTCAAGCCTGCCTCCTTGGAGATCAGGCTAACACTAAAACCATCAGATCACAGTGTGGTGCAGAGGAAGGCCCACCCTGAGTAAGCCATCACCCTTACAATCCTCACAGTGGAAGACCAGGGCTCCAGGGGTCTACAACTTCAGAAACAGTCCAGAGACACAGCCCAGCCCACACCTCCTCTGCTCACATTCTCGTGAAAAAGGGGGAGTGTTTGAAGACAGCTGGGCTTGCTGTGAATCCCAGCTGAACTCTTCACCCTAAGGTGAGTCAGGAAAATCTCGGAACCTGTTTCCTCTCTTCTTTTCTGTAAACAGGGAGACGATGGTTGCCTGATGCTAAACACTGAACCCATTAACCTCGGTCTAGTCTTTGGCACAAGACCAGCATCTAGCAAGTTCATTTTGTCATGTGAGTACCAAATGTTTTCCCTAAACATTTCCGATTTGGAAATGAGGAGTGTAATCATCATATCTAGTGGGGGGAAAAAAAACCACCCCACCACAGAAATGACCCAGAAAAATAGCGGCAAGCATATCAACGCTGTTTGGCCAGCCCTAAAACCCTCTCTGTGCCAACAGAGGCTGTGTGCTGCAGAGAAGTTTCACATGCTCAGCTCAGGAAAAGCCCCCAAGGCCTGAATTTGGAAGTCCCCCAGCCGATCCCATTAGGAATGTGACCTGTGCCCTGGCCTTGGCCGGAAAGGCCACTGGACTCCAAAACCTGGTCTTTGATGATAGGTGGGACCGACCTAAAGCAGGCTCTCCTCACCGGGAGGAAGGAAAGAATGGCTGCTGAGCAGGCACTACGGAACTGTGGCAGAGGTGGCTGCCACCGGCTCAGGGCAAGCAGGGCTGCCCACTGCTTCCTGTGTGCGCTCTCTCTTTCGTCAGGCCCATTTGGACGCAGTTTCCTTTCTCTCTCACTCCCACATAGAGTGTCGCAGTTTTCCTCTCCTGGCCACCCCCACCCCCACTAGCCCTTCCTCTCTCCAGATACACCCAGAACGTCCAGTGATGCTGCTTTCAGGCGATGGCTTGAGCCACGGTCAAAGTCTACCTAGCAGTCACACCTGAGAAGGCAGACGCCTGGAAAACCCACACGATGGACGACGCCAGAGCAGAAGCCTGACACCTTGGAAAAACTTAGGTCCGAGAGACAACGGGGCAGGTAAACTTGCCGGCACCCAGGGCTGGAACCATGCCCTCCTCTACTCCAGACAGGGGACTATCAAACTGCTGCCACCCCTCTTCTCCCCCCCCCCGACCCCCCACCAGGCCCCCCCGGAGGAGCAAGCTGAGAAACACAAAGCACCATCTTCAGAAATGAAAGTGGTTCACACACAGAGTATCTAACTGGACGGCCTCCCCAGGCTAACCCCGGGGACTGCCCACAGCATGGAGCCGCGGATACTCACCAGATCTTAACCTCAGCTCCCCGAGGCAGCCATAGGCATCCGTCAGCTTGCCATACTGTCCTTTAATGACTTCCTTCTCTTCCGGAGCTGGGGGTGGGGGGGTGGGGGGGGGAGAGGAGGAGAAACACATCAGAGAGACATCAGCAAGCAAGCGGCTCTGTTCACGCTCGTTCATTCACACCGCGCTTGCCAATCTGGCTCTCACCCACTCGAAAAAGGAAACGCAGACAATCGCACGGCCCACAGACACCATGTGTATGGGTTTTAGGATCCGAGAAACCCAGAGATGCAAAGATTTAGACCTTCCCACGGAGGAAGGCTTGTTCTCTGGAAATGCTGGCGGCTTCCTGGGGGCGGGGGTGGGGACGGGGGTGGGGGTGGGGAAGGTGCAGGGAGCCCTAGGGTGGCCGGTGATGCCAGGGCACCTTGGGTCTGGCCTGCTACATCACTCTTCACTGTACTGCACACACTCAGAACAGGGTGAGGTCCCAGAATCTACGTGCAAGGCCTTTTCTTCTGATGTGCCAGCCACAGGAACTTTATCTGGGAAATCCCCGAGATACCTGCTTCTACTAGGCGTCATCACAGCACAGGGGTTAGGGTGACTCAGGGCTGGGGCAAGTGAGCCCCAAGGCAAACTGCAGACTTTGCCTGCGGGGTGACTAGCAACCATGTCAGTACCCAAACAACGACCCAGTTTGACTCAGGAGGAGCAAGAAGGAAGGGCACAGGGGCATCCATGGGGATGCCCTAGGCACCTCTGGGGATTCCAGGAGCGGGAGCTGGTGTCCGGACCCTTTCTCATAGGGATGCTTCAACTGCACCGAGAATCTACAAACCCCAATCGCTGTGACAACACTACACCACGTGAAAGAAGGGACCACCGAAGAGCTCACAAGAGCCCACTTGTGTAAAATATCCAGAGCAGGTGAACTCAGAGAGGCAGAGAGCAGACTCATGGTTAGCAGGGACTGAGCGTGGACAAAGGAGCATAGAGGTTTGCTAATGGAGTCTTTGTTAAAGGGGGCAAAAATACTCTACAATTAGATTGTAGGGATGGTAAGATAACCCCTTAAATACTAAAATACTTTAAAAAAAACCCATGGAATTATATACTTTTGGAAATCAGTTGTGTGGTACATGAACTACATTTCAATAAAGTTGGTATAAAAATCAACAACAAAGTAAGATGGCAGAGGGCACTAATTTTTACTGGAATCTAGTTATTAGAGTATTAAAAAATATTAGATATATTTTTCATTGTGTGTATGTGTGTGTTGTATGCATGTATGTATATATATATATTTGCATCACATGCATGCCTGGTGCCAGTGGTGGCCAGAAGAGAACATTGGATCCCCTGGAACTGAATTTATGGATGGTTGTAAGCCACCATGTGGGTGCTAGGAAGCAAACCCAGGTCCTGTACAAAAGCAACATGTGCTCTTAACTGCTGAGCCATCTTTCCAGCCCATAGTTTGAGAAATATTTTAAGGTCTGAGGTCCTTGCCTAGCATGTACAAGGCCCTGGGTTTGAGCGCTAGCACCACAAAAAAAAATTTTGTTATAATGTAGCAACATATATTCCCTATGGACAGTATCTTGTTATAATGTAGCAATATATATTCCTTATGGACAATATCTTTTGTTTTGTTTTGTTTTGAGACAGGGTTTCTCTGTGTAGTTTTGGTGCCTGTCCTAGATCTCACTCTGTAGACCAGGCTGGCCTCCAACTCACAGAGATCCACCTGGTTCTGCCTCCTGAGTGCTGGGATTAAAGGTGCGCACCACCACCATCCAGCTAAAAAACTTATTTTACATTTATTTTGTGGGGGCAGTGCATGCCACAGGACATATGTGGAAATCACAGGATAATCTGCAGGAGTGGTTCTCTCCTCCCACCATAGGTTGGGGTTTGAACTCGGGCAGTCAGGGTTAGTGGCAGTTGCCTTTACCTGCTGAGCCATCTCATTGGCCCTGTTAGCATCATCTTAAATAAAATCTAAACTGGGAGTGGAGGCTCACACCTGTAATCCTAGCACTCAGAGGAGCTGAGACAAGAGGACTGTCAGGAGTTCAAGGTCAGCCAGGCTGCAGAGTGAGCCCTGTTTCAAAATAGCCAATGTAACAATAATAACATCGCCAAAGAAATAAAACCAGCAGGGCCTACTAATCACTTCGTTTCAAATAAGTAAAGAGAAATACATGATTTTTCAAGACTTCGTGTGAGGCAGGCAGAAGTGACAGATGAGGGGCATGGGTAACGAGCTGGTCTAGTTGCCTCCCTTCCTGAGGGCAGTGCTGGCTGGCTTTCAGTCACCAAGGATGAAAATAAAGGTGGCCATTTCTTGTCCAAGAGCTCCAGGACTCCTCCCCTGAGATGCAGAGGGTGGGAGCTGGCTGGACCTGCCTCTGCATCATCACAGAAACTGCCGATTTGTCCTCCCAAGCACCAGGAAGGGGGCCCAGGGTCCGGCAATCTCCAGGAGGAACTGAGATTTCAGAAAGAAGCATGTGTGTGGTGGGATGGGGGGGGGGGGGTGGCGGGACACAGCAGATGACACACTCTTACACCAGCCCTGAGTACAGACAAGCTGGGAACAATCTGGCCCTCATGGCTTCCTGTCCCCTGAAGATGTCCACCAAAAACAGGTGAGTACGCAGAGCATTGACAAATGCCGTAAGCACTGAACCTAGCTTTAGCTGACAATTGTCCTGACACTCCATTTCAAAAGAGCCACCACTCAGTCTCCAGAACAGACTAGACTTCCCATCCCTCTCAACTGGTCCTCTGAAGAACACATACATCCATGAGACCACATTTCCTTACAGGTTAGAAACATAAAACGGAGTCCAGTTCCAGAGCCACCTGCTCACTGTGCCTCCCCCCGCCCCGCCCCCCTTTTTCTCTAGTTGGCCCTGGAGGCAGTGTGTGGTGGTTTGAAGGGAAATGGCCCCCAAAAGGAATAGCACTGTTAGGAGGTGTGGCTTTGTTGGAGTAGGTGTGGCCTTGTTGGAGGAAGTGGGTCACTATGGAGGCGGGCTTTGAGGTCTCATACAAGCTCAAGCCACACCCCGTGTCTCAGACCACTTCCTGTTGCTTGCAAAGATGTAGGACACTTGGCGACTTCTCCAGCACCATGTCTGCCTGCATGCCACCATGTCGCACCGTGCTGATAATGGACTAAATCTCTGAAGATGTAAGCCACCCCAATTAAATGTTTTCCTTTATAAGAATTTCCATGGTAATGGTATCTCTTCACAGCATTAGAAACACTAAGACATAGTGGGAGGCTACCAGGTTCCCCTTGGTAGAACCTGCAATCCCTACCAAACAGGACACAAGGACTCCAGGCTTGGAGGTTGGTGGGTTGTGTACATCCAGCGCAGTCAGTAAGGTCAAAGTCAGACCTTCCATCTCTGCAGGCAGGATGGAGCCAGGAGGCCATTTGAAGATGAAGGCCGACCATCAACACGGCTGAGACGCCAGTGATACCCTACTGTGCTTTGTTGTGTCCAGCAGCAGGGAGACTCAGTCCAGAACTGTCGACAGCCTGAGTTCTCCCCTTAGGGACACCCACTCAGGTAAAGCCAGATCCTTAGCTATGCCTGATGAAAAAAAGTTCAGAGTGAAGCAAAGTTAGAGAATTTATTAGGTAAAGATAAGGGCAAGTACATGTTTTAATAAAGCACAGGCATTTAGAGAGAGAGTTTCTTAGGGAAAGAACAGAACACACTCAACCAAGACCCAGGCCAGAGCTTCTCAAGTGGGAGAGTTGCATTTAGGTATCTTCATGAAGGCCAGATAAATGATTTTGTAGCTTATAAGTCACATTACTCAGACAGTGATTTACAATGTTTGCAGATTAAGCAATGCTGTGGAATAATCCTGTAAAGATTTGTCACTTGAAATGGTTTAATAAAACACTGATTGGCCAGTGGCCAGGCAGGAAGTATAGGCAGGGCGACCAGACTAGGAAAATTCTGGGAAGAGGAAGGGCGGAGTCAGGAGCCACCAGCCAGATGCAGAGGAAGCAAGATGAGAATGTCATACTGAGAAAAGGTACCAAGCCATGTGGCTAAACACAGATAAGAATTATGGGTTAATTTCAGTGTGAGAGCTAGCTAGTAATAAGCCTGAGTTACCGGCCGAGCATTTATAAGTAATAAATATTAAGCCTCCGAGTCAATTATTTGGGAAGCAGCTGCTGGGTACTTGGGAACAGGCAGGCAGGAGAGAAACTTCTGCCTACAAAGCAAAGTATAAAAAGTAAGTAAGGCTTAAAAATTAATCTAGCTTGTATTTTGATACTTATTTCTCATCTTACAGAATTACCTTTTGTAGGTGGCTCAGCGTTAGAGACACTTGCCACAAAGCCCAATGACCTGAGTTTGATCTCTGGGACCCATATGGTAGAAGGAAAACAACAATTCCAGGAAGTTGTTCTCAGACTCCCCCACATGTGTCATGGCATGTGGACACACTCACACACACACACACATGCACACAAGCACACCTGTATGTGCACACACGCACAAAATAATGTAGTAAGGTTTATTTAAAAGGAATTACCTTTTGTAAGTTAAATTGTAATGTGGGTTTTTAAGGTGTTATTTAGAGATGAGAGAATGCTAATATGGTAAAACTGTAGTGGGATCCTGAGCTACGCCATCTTGTGAAAGTATTCCTAACAATACCTTAAGTACAAAAACTACCCTGGGTAAACTGGCCTCTGGTCACGTAGCCATAAATTCCTAAAGTAAACTATCTCTGGACCATAAATTCCTGTACAACGTGTCCCTGGCTGAAGGATAAGAGACCTGCCTGATCACTTAACTGCTCGATCTCTCC